TCGTTCGATTGCGATTGAAGTATTCAATTTAATCATCGATTACTAAACTTCAATTGATTGAACCGAATGTTTTTTTCGAACGGCATTATGCAACCATAGGCAAGTCATAGAAGTATAGATGAAAAATAACCTCGCTTTTGGACTACCATTTTTGAAATACGATTTTATTACGCTATATTGTATTCTTAATTTGAACACTAAATTGTTGATTAAAGGAGATAAAAATAAAATATGTAATTTCCATTGTAGTAGTGTATAACTTTTCAATTTAGTTCCACCCTCACAGTTTCTTCTGTCTCCATCCTTATGTCGTTGATATACCACCCATTCACACTAAGCGCTTTGCGTCCTCCTTTGGATGGAATATTCTACCGTGTATCGATCTACCGCGTACCGAATCGCGTTACGATTATCGATTGTCGACCGATTCGATATAACATCGTGCGAATTCTTTTAATTTTTATTCGCAACACTCGAATCAAACTGTCGTATTCGAGACCGAACCGGAATGACATCACTCTCGTACGATAACTCGAACGTCTCGTTATTTAGAACACAGTTATCGAATGAACGTTACCGAACCGACTATTGTTTACAAAGCAAGAATTAATACTAAAATAATAATAATGTATTGTTCAATAAAGCCTCATATTAGGTAAAGTACACATAATATGTGTCACCTAGGTGAGTACTAAATGTAACATGTTACTTAGGAAATCTCTTAAACATTGTTGGATAATCTGGTTTCCCAAAAAGTACAATTTGTTGCTATTCAAGGCTAGATTGTGTATATTATTTATTAAAAATAAAAGTTTTAGTAAAGCAACATCAATGCTTAGTGATTGAATGAATGACATCAATGCCATTCCACTGACAGTTTATTGCCACTCAACTGTCATTTCAACTAGATTTTAGCAGAATATCAAATATTGTCGTAATTGCAATATAATTACAAAGGAATTGCAATTGGAATTTCAAGAAAATTAGCTGACTTCCGCTGCTGGACACGAGTCTCTATAGTGCGTCTCCAATGAGTAGGTAATAGTGACAAGTAACGAAAACAGTAATTATGGGAATAATTAAAATTAATTACATTAATAAACAAAACTTAAAACAACTGTACAATTGTTAAAGTTACTAAAATTTTTTTATTGACTAATTTATATTACAATGTAAAAACAATAAGCACCATTTTAAAAATATAATTAAAAAAATATCTTTTTGGTGACGTCACAATAATAAATAAAACTTATTTTTTTAATCATTTGAAATTATGTACCCTGGTTTTAGAAAATAAGCATAAAGTCGTACCCTTGGTGTAAAAAGTCACAACTGCAAAATGATAACTTTTCAGGAGAGAAGTCTGAAGATTCTACGAAAAAAATGTTAGTGGTCCTAGAATTACAATTTTTTTATACAAAAAAAAACCAACCGCAAAAGTTCATGGAGTTACATCTATTGGCCAAGTTTTATTAAAATCGGTTACCGGAAAGTGCGCCGGATTCATCCCCTAGTATGCCACGCTTAGAAGTGGAATATTTTATTCAAATTTAAATGGGACCAATACTCAGGTAACCCTCTTTTGAATAAAAAAAAGAATCACCAAAATCGGTTCACACGATTTTCACTAATTAAACAACGTCACAACCTAAAATTAGTTTTCTAAATTGACCCTGCCGGGGCATCAGGTATGGCCATTGACTTACAAATAAATGGACGACGGGTCTAATACAAAAACCACG